GTCTTAAGTCAGGGGTTTAGGGTTTAGGGTTTAGGGTTCAGGGTTTAGGGTTTAGGGTTTAGGGTTTAGGGTTTAGGGTTCAGGGTTTAGGGTTTAGGGTTTAGGGTTTAGGGTTTAGGGTTTACATCAGGATGTCCGGGTTCGGGTTTAGAGGGGTCGGCTCGTCGGTGCCCTCCCACCGGATTTCGGGCACTGAGCCTGAACTTTCTGGGCGTCTGTTAAAGTTGGGGCTTAGAGTACAGCTGGTTGAGCGTCATGGGTATAGAATTGGGGTTTACCGGTCTTTTTTCAGGCTTAGAACTTTAGAGCGTTTCGGGAGATATCAGGCTCCGCGCAGCTGAATTACACTAAGTCTTAGTCGGCATGCATCTGACCCGGAATCCGACGGCTCGAAATCCTAAAGGCGTAAACTCCTAAGTTCCGAACTCCCCATCAACTGAGCCCGACGTAGACTACCACAACAGCAAGGCTTCTCGAATCTGTACCGTTGTAGGCGTATACAATAACTATATATACATATACACCACACATACACATACGCTTGTATGTATACATATATATATATACATATGTAAGTGTCAGTATCTATATATCTATATATATATATATGTACACATATACACGTGTATATATATATATATGCATATAGATATGTATGTACATATGTGTGTATGTGTACATATGCTTGTATACTGTAAACACAGTTGACATATACAGACTATTACACGTTCATTCGCATCCACAAACCTTCCGATGCCCATGGGACACCCTAATCCCTAAATTGTAACCCCTGTCCCAGCCCTAAGCCCGGAATCCTGAACTCAAACCTTAACATCCTAAAAACAAAACCGTGAAACCCGACAACCTGAGCTGCTACGTTGCTGCCAGGGCTCGATGAGGAAATCTTTCGAGAAGTCCAAGGTTACCTCTGCCAGCCTGTGTTGTGAAGTGTTTAGCACAATTCCTTCGTAGTTCCTTCATGCCGTCGGTGGTTAAGGGAAGTCGTAAAATCTGCGATTGAGTGGTGAAGCGGGAGCTGTCGTTAACACAGGCAATTTCCAATGGCTGGGATGGGGGCTTCGAGGTTTGAAGTTCTCTGCGGCGACAGGAGCAAACCAGTGACGGCTGACTGTAACACACAAGATGTCAAAGCCGGGGGAGCAATGTTGGAGCACAAGTACCCTCTTGTATTGAAGGAGAACTACGCGGAAAGTCAGCTGCAACCCTCGATCCATGTGGAATGACTGTTTGGGGAGTTTACTCTACGGTAGCGGCAGTAAATGCATTGAAGCCACACTTCGTCCGAGGCAAGCATGTTGTCGTTCCAGATCTGGACCGTTAGCCTCAAAGGGATTCGGATCTGACTTTCGGACTGACATACTAGAAGATACCCTAACAGTTACCATATAACAAACTAAGATGTGCTACAAGTAGTATAATAAGCGCAATATCAGTCATAATATGAGACTAAATTGATACTCTCATGACTCTGATGGATTCGGATCCGAAGACCAAGGCTCGGATTTGGCAACACGGGTTGCTTCTTGGCGCGAGCTCTATGTCTGCGGTAACGAGACTGCGACGGGTGTTGGGGCTCAACCTCATGTCAAAGGTGCGAAGTGTGGTGCCACTATCTCTTATCGGTGCCAATTAGACCCCCGGAAAATCTGGCAGTATCAAAAGCAAGGCCCGATATCAGGATCAAGCAGATGGAACCCCATGGATCCGGAAAGTATCATGACTCACACCTCCCTCTCTTTGTGTCTCCCCCTGTCCCTCATTCCTTCAGTGTCCACCCAAACGAAAATCTCATCGTCTTTCCATGTAGACCATATGTAGCCCCAAAAAAGAGAAGCTTCTTCACGGCCCTAAGCCCTGAACCCTAAACCCTAAAGTGGCCTTAGTAATTCCTTGGATCTGATACACAGCTGGTCAGCTCTCCCCTGCTACACCCACCGGGCCTGGGTTGTTTGCAAGGGATCATGACCTCATCGGCTCATGGGGAGTCGGATGAAGGCTGCTTGGACTTGGGTTTAGGGTTTAGGGTTTAGGGTCCGAGTTTCGGCTTCAGGGCTTTGAGGGTATAGGAGCCCGATAGTTCAAAGGGCCCAAAGACTCCAACAGTAATAAAGGGATTAGAATAGGGTTCTGGGGCCCATTATAGTACAATTATAATCAGAAACCTCACAATAGTATTGATAATTATTTAGGCGCCTATATTACACACGTTGCGTTGGGCCTCTCTGTAATACCTTTGGGCCACAAGTCTTCGAATGCTTGGACCACGAGTCCAATGATGTGAACAGCCTGAAACCCTACCTGCCACATACGGCATCGTGACACGTATATACGTATGTCTGGTTGGGCATATATATATATATATGGTCCGCTTGGTATGTTTTTCCAACGTGGTGCCTCAGCTTAGAAACCCTATATATAGACCCTGAATGAACAAGGACTGCGGTTCAGAGACTTTCTCTGCTGTTGGGGCCAAGGTGAGCCGGTGAATCAATTGTTCCAAGAACAAGAATGCTAAAGCATACGTTCAACCTTTCCCGGTAGACATGCTATAGCTTTGCATTGTAGACCTAGGCAAGCAGCAACTACACTGAGGTCACCCGAACTCTATGACAGCTTTCATGTGAGTTTCCCAGCAAATCGACGAGTGAGGCTCCTATGCCACCGGAGCTCTGGACCAGAAGCCTGGAGTGTGTCTGCTGGGAATGCTGCTCCTAAAGCCTACACCGAAGCATAACAAAGGGACATGCAGAGAACAGCTTCCTGAAGCCCGAACACCTGGGTTTGGGGTTTAGGGTTTTTATTTCTTGGGGCCTCTGCGTTTAGGACCCCCGTGAAAGCGCATTATTATCCCATAAAACCCCCTTATAATGAAGCCCAATAAGGTAGGGATGTCCCTACAAAATGCTTATGCTTATTTCATCCGGCCTCTGTGTTCACCGGGGTGTTTATTAAGTAGGGTTTCATTATGTACGAGTACCCCCACAGTACACTGATCCATGTCCAAAAGGAGCTTTTTTTGCACACTCTCATGCTCTACGACTCTACGATAAGCCCATGCTCTACGATAAGCCCTACTGGATATAGGCACACTGAGCTTGTGCTCGCCTGTTATTGTAAGACACGACCCTTCAAGGTTTAAGTTCTGAATGTGTCCTGTTCTTAAAGCTCGATTTGGTGTCGGGTCGGCAGGCCCTAAAGTATCTCGAGACCATGACCCAAGAATCGGAACATTACTAATCACTTCCCTCTTTTTTTCAACACCCCTAATAAGGAAAACACATTGGGCCCGATCCTCCCGAAATCATCCCTGCCCTTTAAAACCTATTCTGAATTAGAGGGAGGGAGCCAGAGCAAAAGCAAGAGCAGGAGCAAGAAAAAAAGCGGGAGCATCAGCAAGAACAAAGCAAAAGCAAGAGTGGGAGTAAGAGCAAGAGCAGGAGCAAAAGTGGGAGTAACGGCAAGAGCAGGAGCAGGGGCAAGAGACGCAGCAGAAGCAGGAGCTAAAGGCAGCGTGGGAGCAACAGCCGGTTCCCTCAAAAGTGACAGGAGAAAAAAAATACACTTTTTTTGTCAAAACATCTTCCGAGCATCTATTGGGGCGGGGGGCCCCCCTTTTAATATTGGGGGAAATGATTAACACGTGCCGCCAAAGGCACGTCTTTGAAGATGAGCCGCCAGTTCAGAGTGGCCTTCGGTCGTGGCATACTTATTAGAACGGCTTGGGGCTGTGGTACCTCTACTTTGTCGCACCTTCACAGGATCTTTTCTTGGCTTCTAGGAGTCTAAGCCTTGAGCACTGAGCCTCAAAGACAGACCCCGAAATCCCACTTTGGCCTCTGGTTTCCGGCGGGTCAATCCTACATACCCCAAAACCCTAAACCCGAAGCTTTCAAGCCCTAGACTCCAAAGCCCTAAACCCCTAAACTCATCACCAACAGCTCCCCAAAAACCAGGGCCCAGGGTCAATCCCGGAGTTTCACGTCTCAGGTGGCATCGGAATGTGTTGGCTGTCACTGTGTGGAATATGCACTGACATCACAGGGCACCACAACATACAACTTTAGTAGACCCTCGGGAGACAGAGAGGATTGACGGTTGTAGTTTTTTTGATGGATCCAGCTTGGCTTGAACAAGGATCTGCTGTGCTTGGGATGATCTATTGGAAGAGCCGGGTGCTTCGCTGTAAATCTCCAAATCTGTCGCATGAGCCCGAACCATAGGCTCTCAACTACGGGCGCGAACCCTATAAATCCTAAGCCCCAAGCTGTGCCTCCCAAATGGTGCAAGGCATCGACTGGCACTTGTCTTTCTAGGGGGTTGAGAGCCGCTTCCCCAGTCTTAAAAGCACTCAGCAAGTACTGCCTTCATGTGGACGGCTCTCTGAATTCGGGTTCCTGCTGGTGTACACCAAGCAATATGCCACTCGTGTTCGAGCAAACGAAAGCCCGGACGTAGGATAAAGGTGTGTAAGGCTTGTTTTATAGTTCTTGCTCGAAATCAGTCTCCAGGGTCCTGGCAGGACGTAGCCTGGAGGGATCAGGCTGTGGCTCGGCTGTGCCACTGCGTGGTGGCTTGAAGATGATGTATTCCGAAGGCAGGTATGCCAGCCGCAGGCTGGATGTTATCCGGTTGCAGCTGTGACAGTAACAGGCAATCGTATGCGATTCTGGCGACCATGATTTTGCATGGGAGAATTATGAAACGAAACTGTCTGAATCACCCAGTGCAAGAACTGCCAGACATGTTCTTCCTAAACTAGATCAACGAACAACAAAACCCCAACCTCAATCTGTTGAGATATCCGGGGCCTCTGAACCTCCTACCTCCATGCAGATTCCCCCAAACTCTAAACCCTGAGACCTAAACCCTGCATCGCCAGGGCACGGTCCAGTCATCTGCTCCGAAGTGAGTGTCGGTTTCCTCAAAGAGCTCCGTCCCGTTGTCCAGAGTCATCTTGCCACTGGCCTGGCAGTTGGGCCGTTGCCGGCACTTCAAGACCATGCAGTTAAGCTATAATGAAGATATGGAGTTTTTCAACTGAAAACATGGCTGTGTGGCTCTTATTATGGCAGAGTTGGAACAGCTCCAGCCCTCCCAACAACCGCATCGAAGACAGAAGTGGGTGCGGGAGAATTTCCGGAGTTTCGGGTAGAATATCCCAGAATCGTCAAGTTCAAGCCTAACACCTCACAAGGTCTGGCAAGCAACAACCAAAACACGAAGGGCAAGCCCATAGCGAAGTTGCTGCCTACTGCCCTGAACCTTCCTCACCCCTCACGAAAACACAAACTGAAGCCATTCTCTCCTAGTTGGGATCACCGCAAAGAAAAGCTAAATCCATCTCTGATCAAAATATCAGCCCTTCACCTCTCACCATGAAACCCACATCGGATCACAACCCTGCCCCAACCCTTACTCCCCCAATCAGCCAGGAAAATAAAAGGTTAAACTTTCAGATAACTACTAAACTGTTAAACTAGATTAGAGCCCAAAGAAAATTTGAAGGTTGGGTATTGGAGAACTGAGAAACCCTGTACCCCTCAACCCCAACCCCCCGCCCAAAACGCCTTCACGGAAGGAACTGAGCCATCCTGAGATTGGAGCCCACTGGGCTTTTGGGCTCGAGGCCCCTAGAGCCAGAGCTCTCCAAGGAAATGTAAAGGAGCCTAATATGGGGGCCTTGGTAAGGAGAATAGGGTTTTGGGCTGCTTGATAGTATGACTATTATAAGGAACCCTAAGGAATATTTTTGGTAACTACTTGGGGCCATATATTAGGCGTACCTTTTGAACTTCAGGGCGGAGGGTTTTTTTCCCCACCGGCGTTCGGTTTAGGGTTCAGAGACCGATATCCCATATTTGAGGCAATGCGGCAATACTTGTAAAGGCAGACCGAACAACACCTTCCTCAGACCCTGCTTGGTTACAAACCCCTCCAGCAAGGGTTAACAGCACGGGTTTTGGGCTGTCGGCTTTGGAGGTTCATGGTTGCGACTGACCCATGACACACACTTGCAAGCATTAACCTGCACGCCCTCGAACTTCGCCATATAGCCCCGGGAACAACTTCAAATAATTCAGAAATCCAAAGCCCAATCCTAAACCCCAAGTCATCGCCGAATGGTGCCAAGGAGAAGGGAATCCCGAAACTTGCCCAAGGGCCCTAAGCACCAATATAGCGGAATGTAGGGCTTCTTTTGAAGGAACTAACTGCTAGTATGGTCTGGGGTAAGTATCCGCCCATAACGGTACCTAAACCCTAAACTCTAAAGCCTATAAACCATAAACCCCTTTGGGTTAGGGATGTTGCAGGCAAGTCGCGGGTGTCTGGATGTCCACGACCTTGAACCTGCTTGTGCGCGGCTCGGGCGGGTTTAGGGTTTAGGGGTTGCAAGCTGTGGCGCCTACTCCGCTTTAAAAATCTGAAAATTAAAGTCCAAACAGCACCCCTCGCAGAACCGTGTCAGCCCCTGTAACACTCTTCCGAACCGCCTTTACAGCATCAAAAGCCACGGTGTAATGTATTTGCCTGGACAAGCAGGATTAGTGTCCTCTTTGAAGTCCCCACTTTGGAGCTTTAGGCCTTTCGCGAGGTTCGACGGGGTGTCCGCTTGAATTCAGAGAGCCAGCGGTCACATCTCCAGTGGTTCTTGGCTACATTCCTGCCCCCGCACCCGAAACCCCCTGCGACCACCATCTCCAAAGCCTTTGATGCCTCACGACCCTAGAGACCTGCGTAGATCCTGCGCCACACGCGCGCCCGCCCGTTCAAAACCTTTCTTCCGCTCAAAACCTAAAACCCAAAACATATGCCCCTCTAGGTAGACATGGCGGCTTGAAGAACCTGTGGTGTGTACAGTAAACATAACTAAATAACAGTCAAAAACGATTACTGAAAAAAAAGACCCTGAACTCTAGAGCCCTACAACCCGAAACCCACAACACACGAAAAAGACAAGCCCAGCAACACGGCCAGTCGAAGCTCAAACGGCAAGGGCTCCGTCGATGGAAGCGACTCGATCGGACGCTCCTGTAGAGGCTTTATCAGGGTTTATAAGGACTTCTAAGGGCTTTGATGGTGGCTGTGATAAGGGCTTACCTGACGGTTTTGCAAGGGTTTATAGGGCTTCTAAGGGTCTTGCAAGGGCTTTGTTTGTAAGAGTTTTACATGACCCTAAACCCTTAAACCCTACACCCCTAAACCCTAAACCCAAAACCCTAAACCCCTAAACCCTAAACCCTTAAACCCTACACTATGGAGGCCTTTGAGTATCAGAATTGGGCTTGGTGACACCAGGCTGGTGGCCTTGGCGTTTGGGGTTTTGGGTGTTTCGGGGTCTGTGCATTGAGGGTTCAGGGTTTAAGGGATAGGGTTAGGGTTTAGGGTTTAGGGTTTAGGGTTTAGGGTTTAGGGTTCAGGGTTTAAGGGTTAGGGGGTCTTGGGCTCAAGTTTGTTCAGGGTTGGGGGCTTTTCGGTTTACCTGTAGGGTTTAGAGGCGTTGGGTTCAAGGGTTCAAGGGTTCAGGGTTTGGGCCGTTGAGGGGGGTTGGGTTCACGGATTTGGACGTTTAGGGGTTCAGGGGCTAGGGCTGTAGGGTTTATAGGGTAAGTCTATGGGCTGGCCGTGCCCAAAACTCTCTTTTGAAGGATAGCAATGGGGGCGGGCGGGTGTCAATATTTATAGTGTTTTTGCTCTCCTGCTTCTTGTTAAACCCCAATACCCCAAGCCCTACAAACCCTAAGCCCAATAACCCCGAAACCCAAGCATTCGCCAACTCTGGTCATTAGTGCGACAAGGGCGTTGAAGTATGAGGGTTTAGGGTTTAGAGAAGTCTTGGCCGGTGTGCTTTGGCATGCAGCTTGAGGCTCCAGGGGTTGAGACTTCATTAAAACCCGCGACGTTGCGCCCAAACTGCACGAAGCCTTCAACCCCAAGCTCTTAACGGTGACTCCGCAGTAGGGACCCGGCAAAAAGACCGTGATCCCATCGCTCCGTGGCACATAGAGGCGTAAGGGTGCAAGCTCTATAGACCTTATCAGGAACCATTCCTCCCTAAACCCTAAACCAACCCTAAACCGTAGGGCTTGCTTACAGTAGCTGTACCTGTGATGTCAGGGCTCTCCCTTGTGCTGGCTCCTGATTTTCTGGGCCGTTCCCCGACGAGCCCCGACAATCCTAGAACCCGTTGTGCTCCTGTGAGAAAGCCTCAGGAGCCGGGCAGTCCTGCAGATTCAGGGGAGGTTGACACACAAGCACTTTTTCACTGCAGGTGTTAAAGCGGTGCACAAACGGACAGACAAACAGACGGACGGACGAGACACACACCCACATACACACACTCGCACACGCACAAACACACACACACACACACATGCATACACAGTCCGCATCGCGAGTGGAGGGGTGAGTTTAGCGGTTCGATGCTCGGAGGTTTCGAATCGGCACCTGGTCCAACTCTTGAGGTGCAGGTTTTGAGATTCGTTGGCTCTTAGGCTTCAGAGTTTCAGGGTTGAGGGGTTCAGGGCTACAGGATACCAAAAGACCAAAGTTTTGAAGTACTAAACTTCTGAGTTATTAAGCGAACATGGCCGAGGTTTCGGGACTTCAAGCTTGAAGGTGTCAGCTGTTGCGCTTACCCGGAGGGGAGTTTCCGAAAATAAGGGGTACCTTATTTTGGGGTTCTTATATTAAAGATATACTATTTAGGGTGCTATATAGGGTATTTGGGTTCCCTATTTTCGGAAACACACACATATCAGAGCAAGACGGCTTGCGCCACCTCAATATCTTGTTCCATGTGTCCATGGCATGTTGAGATTACTACATACTCAAAAGCCATGTCCTCCAAAGCCTGGGAAAGCACCGGGGATAACCTAGTCAGAGTTATATTTGTAAGGCAGACTCGTATGCGACTAAGGTTTCCGGCTTTTGCAGAATCAATATCATACCGTCCTTGCGCCGCTGGTTGTACATGATGTCCAGCCACAAGCGAACATGGCCTCGGAATCCGGCACAGCTTCGGAATGCACTTATGGGTTGATACCCTAAACCACGGAATGGCAAGGCAGATTCGGCTTCAGGATCGCAGGGCAACATGATCATCAAAAACGTTGCTCATCACAAGCCCTGACTGCCACACAGCAGGTGCTGGAGGGGAAGTCAAAGACCCTCAAGTCAAAAGAAGTCTGACACGGCCTTCATGATGTGCAGCGGGTTTGGGATCTGCGTACGTGGGAACCGCAGTAATCCTAAACCGTACGCATATGTTAACTAGTTCTTCTGACCCATACATTGCCCGAATCCACCAGGAATCTCCTATGTGCCCTAACCGTTGACTATTCACTTCGAGAGACGAAATTGGACCGAGGAAAGAGCTGCGCCGGGCTCTGTATCTCAATAGGATCTTAAACCCTAAACCCTAACGTAGTCCTGTGACCGAACCCAACTTTGCAAGACCCTCTACGATCTGTACATATATCTGTGCTGTCTGCATATGCAGCATACATACCAAACATGTATATTAGTTTGTAGCCATGCCTGAATGCATGCATGGAAGCCCTGAGCTGTTCCGAGCAGCCCTTGCTGAAGACAGAGCCAGCGATCCTTGAAGCGCGGAGAGAGTTCAGGGTTCAGGGTTCTGGGTTTAGGACTTATAGAATTTAAGACATTGGGAGCTAGGGCCGAAGTCAGGCTTCCACCATTCGTTTTGTTATTCTGCATCTCCGGGTTCAAATAGGGTACGAAGAAAACAAGCCACCTTTGCGTATACGTGGGTTCGTGTCCACAAATATGCATTCATACACAGACAAGCGAATGCATAAGATGTACCACGTGAATCATATGAAAGATGGATTGTTATATATGACACCAAGAGAACTTGCATACACACGCGTGCAGGGATACATGTATGCATATGTAAAAGTATATGAGTGTACATGCATATGCACCTGGAACTGCATGTGCCTGTTTGAATCCGAAACGCAATGGCA